CGAGTTAGCCCAATACTAATAAAAAAAATGTGTGGTAGAGTTAACTATTCCATACTGTAAACTTATTAATCAATCGTTTAAGCAGGGATTTATTCCCGAAACATTAAACGTAGCTCTAATAAAACCTATCTACAAAATAAGAGAAAATACAAGTCCAAGTAACTATAGAATTAGTAAAGCGAATATAGCATATTTCACTGGCTCTATACCTTAAGGAGGCGTCCTCGGATATCTCCTATTTATAATCTTCATAAATCTTCCAAATCAAATAGACAAACAAAGTATCCTTTTCGCCGATGATATTACTATTACAATTACATGCTCTAACACATTCGAGCTGCTAGAAAAACTTAATACTACTCTAAATAAAATTAATAACTGGCTCATACAACATAACTTGGAACTAAATATAAATAAAACAAAATTAATAAAATTTAATGAATGAATGTATTAATTATGTTTAAAGTTTATTTAATAAATAAATATAATAGATACTAACTGTATTGTTTAACAATAATTAACTAGGCCAATAATATTTATAAGTAAAGATGGCAACAGTTGCCCCTCAGTATTGCTGTGCCCTTAAAAGACGTCACTTGCACAAAATTTATTTATAACATCTTTATGACTTGTGACTTGCATTGAATAAAAAAAATGCAAGAAGTTTTTAAAATATCTGGTCAAAGCAAAAAATTTCTTTATCCAAAATGGTAGTCTTATACAAGTACTTTGAATAAAAAGCAAAATAACCCACTAAAAGCATTTCATAGTCTCAGTAAACAGCGGACTAGTAACGCAAAGGATGCCATATTTCACGGCAGCTCAGCAGTAAAGTGTTTTGACAGTCACCCGTGGGATCTGCTCGATATACTCGCATTTCCGATCAAAGTTTTGTAGGTACTCCGCTCACGGACGTAACATGTTATATAACTAGACCCTAAAGGCTTGACAAATGTAGAATTCAGACATATTAAATAGGCTGTTTTGTGTATATTTCCGTCTGGCTCAGCTAAAACCAATAGTTTTACTGGTCCTATTGAATTGATAAGCACGACGACTGTACAACAAATAGTATGGCGAGCTCTTTTGGGAAGTAATTATGATAATCAGAATAAGTTTTGAAAAAAATATTTTGTTTGACATATAAAAAGGCATATCATTGTAAGCACCGCGTATTGACCCGAATACAATATTTTTATTTAAAAAAAAATAGAGAATAAATTCAGTGATTTCCCTCTACAACTCGATACTGGTCCGAATTAAAAAACATTGATAAAGGATGTAAATATTCATCCTACCTTTTTTCTATTTCGTTAATAACGAATCTTTAGTTGGCATGTAGGTTTCACTAACGAATCTATAGTTAAAATGGAATCTTTGACCTGGATATCTTTCATGTCAATATTCGAAGACATAAACATAAAGTATTGCACAAGAAGATATAAAATAAATATTATTTGACCTTAAAGCGAAGATCTAATTTAATTATAACATATAAACTGATTATTTTGCATCTGATATTTAATAAATGACTTTTGAGTACAGTTTTGTACCTGTTAGTTTTGTAGTGTATCACTTAAATTTATTTTCGCAGAAAATTTATTAATTAAATTCTATAACTCGTAACTGTGATGTAAACGCATATGGAATATTTTCATTGTAACAATGCTCTGTATTTCTATAACTGTCATAAATGCTTTTAAAGTGTCATTTAAAATATTAACTTTTTTTTGTTTTGTGATGTTGACATGCCTTGACTAAATAAATTAATAAAATCTTGAACTACGAAAATAATAAATAGACGGCGAGCTAGCAACAAAAATATGCAAGAGTTTACATAAATTTGATATTTCAGTATGTTGAAGTACATCACTCAGTACCCACTACCTAGTGCGGAGGTCAGGTGCTTGATCTCCTGGTGGATGGTGTTGGCTCTCGTTAATGCATATACAGTGCCATATTATATTATGCTCAGACCACACAATTGTGAATACGGCGGCTCAGCAGGTCTCAGAACTTGAGAAGGTCAGCTCCGAAGTGTTCCAGCATCTGACCTCTGTACTGGACACTGAGTAATACCTTTAGTACTTCTACAGACTGAAATATTAAACTAGAAATATCTATCACATTTTTGAGACACTATAGTGAATCGGTGTTGTTTCATGCATTTTACTGTCCATTGTTTGTTAATTTATAATATTTCACACGCTTAACCGATTCTTTTTTATTTGGATATAACGGTATACTAGTCCCATTTATATTTTGTAACTGTACAATGAAGAGTAATCTTAGTAGAGAAAGAAATATTTTCTTCAGAATTGTAAAGGTCAGGTTGTTATATAAGGTGGCATTTGGAGAATTCGATTTCGGCCTTGTTGTAAGAGTTAAAATGGAAGTTTCATTAAGATATTCATAAATGATTCTTTGTCTATGTTTATCTGCTTTAAACTGTAGGCATTATAATCTAAGACTGTAGGTATATCTACTTTATTGGAGCGTAGATGAAACGATAATCAGTGTTCATATTTGTTATTATCAGTACAGGCACAGACCTTCTATCAGACAAACAGAGAGATATGGACTGTTAGGTCTTACCAACGACTGCAAACGCAACCGGAAACAATAGCTTAATGTGCCTTCCGAAGCACGGAGAATCGCTTAAACTTGAGATAACCAAATAATTTTGGTTCAAGATAATAAGCTTTTCGTCTTCTATCTTATCACCGGTCTTTGCAAGTCGGTTAAATAACTTTCGCTTTTCGAGGAGGCCAAACGCTTTGATCACTTTGATCATTTCACTAGTCAATTGATTAATATAATAAGTGAGTGCTGTCAGACCAGTTCAAATTAGGTCACAGATCACTTCTATTGTTCCGTATCAATCTAATTGTTAATTGTAGGTAGATGTTCGACCGACATTTGAATCGTCGTATAATGTGAGCTAAAGCTTTTCTTAAATGTACTATTTATTCTCATTACTCAATTCCGATATTACATAATTTCAGAAGATCTACTTATTGAAATTTCAATATGTTTATACAAACGTTGCCAATTTTGAAATAATTACAAGAAATTTGAATGAAATTTGTATTATAGTTATCATCATCAGTTTCATAATACTTATCCTTATATTTAGATGTTACACACACAAGCTCCACGTCAGAGGCTTAATTCTAGCTTTTTGACACAGTTCTTTTCACTATATTTCAAATAGAATCTCTCATCGTTGATTCATCAAGATGCTGTTACACCAATAATATATGGCGTCATGTGAATAAATATATTGTGAAAATTTAATTATTTAAATGCCATTATTTTCTTAGCATTAGAAGATTTTTGTATTAGTTTTTTCAGTTAAATAAATATGCGCTAAGGTATGATATCAGTTAGGATTTAATATTTTAGCACTTTTGATTATAGTTATTTATTTGTATAAGTCCAAAAGGTCAGGGGTTCATAATATAAATTTCAATTTCATCCTTATATCAAGTTAAGATTTAAAAGTAAAGAAACTTACACGATTAAGACTTTTTCTGAAGAAACATATTTCAGCAAAAGAATTTTAATAATAAAAGGAAAATGTAAGAGGTTTTATTGTTATTTTTCCACAATAGTTCATTCATATATTTCTGTCAGCAGCGGGTTAAAGAATAACGCATTGACCGCAAAACCCAATTTTAACGTTGCAATAAGAACTTTATGCCGTGCACATAAGAGAGTCGAAGCAACGGTGCTATTATTAACGCTTTCACATTTTCGACCGTCACCAAAATTTATGTACATACCTTTTGTTTCTTATTCAGCGGCGAGAATCAAGCAGATGATTGTGCAGAGGCAATTATCTTTATGAACATTGTGGTATAAAAAATGTTACTTTAGAGTGTTCATTAGGAAGTATAATGGCCGAATATGTACCTTTATAAGTATAATAATGATTCTATGGCGTTTTATGTAACATTACAGTTGAAATATGGAAGTGTAATGTTGCAGTTTATGACAACCTAAGTTTTAATATCTTTTTTAAACTATGCCAGAAAATTGTCTTTTTTTTAAACAATGCCTCAAAACCGTATTTTGCAACTGTTTTTTAATTATTATAATTACCATCGTGCGTCTGAATTTTCTGCGTCTACCATCTCGTATGCCAAAACCAAAGCAAAGGAGCAACTGTCCCATGAATGGCAGACGCGTTACGAAATGGCACAGCAAGATTTGCACACCAAGGTGATGTTTCCTACGCTCTAAGATATACGGCGTCTCCGCTACTCCACTCATATGTCCTTCAAGCTGGCCTAATTCCTTACTATTTTTTCTTTCTGGGTCGGAATCCTCTCACTTGTCTCCAACCCGATGTTAGCAAGAATGGGTTTCCGACCCTCACGCACTGAAAGGCTATCTCTCCATACAAGTTGCATCTCGACTCGCTCGGTGGAGGGCTGCACCACTTCAGCAAGAATTATATTATCAGGTAAAAACAAATCCAACTATACAACCAGAGAATTGTCCTCAAAACACATATTAAGAAAAAAGTCGCTTTGATACCTATATGCTTTTTATATGTCATTTAAATAAAAGTCATGCTCCATTTGACCTATAATTATTTATTTACACTTATACCTTTATATATAAAAGTATCTTTGATTAAATTTTTTTATAAAATATAATTTTTAAACGTACTACACTTTTCTTATCTAAACAAAGCAATAAGTTAAAAAAGTAACAAAAGTTTTAATTAAGTATTTTATATGTACATCGCTCATCTAATTATTCTATTATTATTTGACTTATTTTTACATCCACATTACAAATTATCTTAAATTATAAACGTATACAGAGTAAATTTATTTCTTTAACACCTATATCACAAAAGTGCTATGTTCTGGAATAGATATTATGGTGATTAAAAAAGTTTCAAGTGCATTTGAGATGTCATTGACATAGTGGCACATATTAATTATCACAAAGGTGATAATAATGTTTTGAAATCGATAATTCGTTTTCAGAAATTCGGAATAGATTTCTAAATCGTTTTTAAACTAGGTAAAATAATTATCGATACTAGTATCATATTTCAATATCACTTAGAGCATTACTCTATTCTCAGAAGATTTGGTAACTTCCACAGAAAACATGTTTCATATCAAAAAATATTCTGGACCTACATAAGAACCACATTTAGGGAAATCAGCGGGTGCTTGTACAAAATCCCTTTCATTTCCCACTTTTAGTATAAAGTCTAAACCTCTAGTCCAGTGCGTCGATCTTTCGTCTCTCATCATCCAATACCCTGGATTGTCAGCTTTAAAACGTAGTGCTACTGCGCCAAACTTTGGTATCACTATTGTATCTTTCAAAACAGGATCGACTAAATTTTTACTGAACAGAGTGTCTTCCTCATTCATTTTCTTTATGTCTTCAATTGTCTTGCTTGTATTAAATGCTTTAATGCCGACGACGTAAAAACTGTAGCCGTGAAGATGAAATATGTGATCCGACTCACCGCCTGAAACCAATTAAGAAAGGAATTAGGGATTACATGGGAAGCAATAATCCTGAATAAATAGACGTAAACAAAATCTCCTTGTCATGAATATTTTTCTGATATTTATACTATTATTCCTTTTTTGTATATATAAGGAATTATTTTTAAAACCGATATTTTAAGAGAAACAGTCATGAAATAACAATAAAAGTTACCAAATACATGTATGCTAACTAGTTAAATAACTAATACCCGTTTTCAGTAAACTTAGGAGAAGCCCAAATCTGTCGCCTAAATATTTAGGAATCGCCTAAGGTGAAAATTCATTTCACCATTGACTAGGAAGTGCCTAACGCAATTAAGCAATGTCTAAGGTTATAATATTCGTTATGCGGCTCCTTGCGCTAGGCATTTGCGTATATGACAGATCATAAATATGTCAAGGATAAAAGAAAAATTCAACAACTGCTGAACTAGGTAGATTTTTGTTGGGATTTAGCTTTATTTTTTTATATATTGAAAAAAAATACATTATCTTGGTATATAACATGGACGTATTTTACCAGTATCGATATGAAAAAGAAAATACATTTTAAATCCATGCTTTTGCTTTCGTAAATAATTAAAACAAGACATCACAGATGGATAAGGTTATTATTTGAATGGACATTTATTGAAATTAAACTGACCATCTGCTGAGTGCAGATGGTCAGTTTAATTTCAATAAATTATTCTCTTTTCAATCTAAAACACAAAAATAAATAAAAAAAAAAAAAAACAAAAATAATTTATATTATAGTAATAAAACGGTTCACAGCAACTTCCATAGCGCTAGAGATAAATACGAGAGCGGGTACATTTAAGTTAATGCAAGGAAGGCGGTAAAACAGCCTGTTGTACGAGTATAGCCAATGCTAAAACAATTTGTTTATCCTAGATATTCAAAATCAAAAAATCGAAATAATTTATTCAGTTTAAGCTGTTATAAAGACTTGTGATAGGATATTTGAAAGTCCATGCCATCCTTGCACCGAGCAGAACCGGGAAGAAACCCGGCAAAGGCTACTTTTTTCTCTTGTTTTATTTCATACAGTGATGTCAAGTTTGAAAAATGACTTCATTGGAGTACGAAGTCACTATCCATCACAAGATTAGAAAATATGTATGTATTAAAATAATTCGCTCGTCAGTCCATTCATAAGCAGAGTCAAAAAGGTCACCGATAAATAATTAACTTAATATAGATGAGCATATTCAAAAGTAGTCTAGACCAGACTCATCTCCTCTAACAGCACGCATTCACCAGCATTACGCATGGGCCGGCCATCGTTATATTTTAGGGAAAGTAACGACCAGACCCACACACTTTAAAGAGAGCATAACATACTTTAGGTACCTGCTCCTTTTAATGAACAGAGTACAGCTTTTAATTCATTCATCAATGTCGGCAGGACGCGGTGAAAACCATAAAAATCTTTAATTTATTTTTTAATCAGATCAATATAATGTTGCATAAATACGCTACAACAGTGACTTACATATTTATTAATTTTCCTTATCAAAGAAGGTATAATTACAACAAATAATTAAGGAAGATGATTAATTTTCCGATAACTTTGTGATTTGACGGAACCTTTAGAAATATGATGTACCTAGTTATTTTTAATTACATCTTATTTAGGTATTAATAGTTACTTATTTTTGTGTACGCGCTCTTTTTGTTTTTATCAACATAAAAGGGCGCGTACACAAAACATATTTGTCATAAACAGTTTTGTCATTAATAGTTACTTATTTTTGTGTACGCAATCTTTTTGTTTTTATCAACATAAAAGGGCGCGTACACAAAACATATTTGTCATAAACAGTTTTGTCATTTTTATACAATTTTAGAGACGCGAGAGATGTGCGACCCACGTTAAAAATGTAAAAGGTCACGACCGTCTAACGTCACCTAAAAGAGATGATGATACCACTAAAAGGGCGTGAAGGTACTTGGCCACTAAAGCTGTCAATATTTTACGCCATAAAGGCTTTTATGGCTACATTATACAATCCCTTGGGGGATCTACGAAACCACGATTAGTGCATAAACTACGACAAACTCTAAACTCTAAAGACCAATTAAGTTCCAAATTTTCAGAGTTACATTAGATAAGCTGTTGTAAAATCTACTGCACCATCCATTTCAAACCATAATATGCTGTTAATGTAGTGTAGTGTTACTATTACTCAACTCTTTTGCAACTAAAACATAAATAAAATCTTATAGAAACATTAAATATTTTCATTACACAATGAATTAGATAATTTTATTACCTTCGCTTAATACGTTATAAACCCACACTTTCCTATTACTTGCATTTTCTTAACTATTTCATAACAACCTTTAGTAGATATCTATAACATGTAACGGTACATAAAACTTTAAAAAATAATAAATCAAACTTAGGAACCTAAACTTACGTAGGTACTTCTCTTACATCATTCCATGTTTTTAAGCTTACCTATTACTTCATTTAAACCCCGCCATGGATTTCGATGCGTTTTACACGTTCGAGTAACGATATTATTTATTCCTTTTCCTGAGCTTTTCCTTTTGTATAACCTTTTTTTTATATTAACTTACTTCACAGGAACAAATTACAAATTATCTATAAATCAATCAAAGGTCAAAAAGGCCCTATAAATCAATCAAAGGTCAAAAAGGCCCTGTTATATAAGTCCTTGAACGGAAATTGGGAAAATTTTGAACCGTTCTCATAATTTTGTCAAAATTATATCCGCGAAAATTATTTTTGTGTTGCAGTGTTGGAGCTGTGTCAGATCCTACCTACGTGCGTCATAAATTATTGAAATACGCTTTTTCATTGGAGTCATATTAACATATCGAAAATAAATGAAATTTCGTTTTCGGAAAAATAGAATAAGCCTTCAGATATCATATTAATTCGTACAAGTAGTGTTTGACGCTATATTTCACACAAGACTGATCATCTGTCTCTAGATATCTAATTGACTGATATACTATTCTGTTAAAAACAGAATCTGTTGAAAACAGAATAGTTTCTATGAAATAAAACCTTACTACCTTTTGAAATAGGTTTTATTTGATTTAATCATTCTCATTTTCACTCCGTCTTTATAAATAAGCTACGCTATCGCCTCTTTAAGCTCTTCAACGTGAGTAATAATAACTGTAAACTATAATAATATTTCAAATAAGTGAACACGACGATCTTAGTTTTAAGTTCGTATTCCCCGAAACGGTGTTCGCTTAGATTGCATTGAATATTATATGATCTAAAGGTGTCTGTTAAGTCCTACCTTATTATCATTAACTTAATGAAATATTAAAACGAGCATCTTCGAAAAACCATTTGCCGCTTATTATTATCATATATGTCAAGCTTAATATCATTTAATCAATCAAAAGTTATTTCAATTAGTAAAACTATATTTTTTTTAACATAAACTAATCAAACAAAGTTCTATCATTATTAATTTACATGTTATAAAGATACTCGTATTAGATATTTAATAAAAGCAAAAATTCTCATTACCTGTTATATCTAAATAGTGTTGCAAGTAGAAAGTAGAAGTGTCCTATAGCAAATATCATATTTGGTAACAAATAATACATAAATAAAATATCAAGTCATCTCGCCTAGTAAGCGTTAGGTCACGTCCGTATCAAAAATAGCAACAAAAGAAAGTGTGATTCGGGCATAAATCTTAACACAATTTATATCACCAGACCAGCTAAATCCAGCGACGCTCTATTGTGGTTAGTGTCGCTCGGTGTTGTAGAAATTGCAAGGTAATGTTGTAGAATGCAAGTAAATCTATTAAGTAGGTGTATTTCGAGTTAAGCACACTAAGTTACTTAGTTTCATTCCATATTTGTACCGCTGAGACAGTGACATTATGGAAAAAGCTTATAAAGTTTAACTTTTTTTAAACTTTAATATTTATACATAAATAAACTTTATATTTTTTCATCAGTCCTGATAGTTCTCGGAACGCTCAATGGTTAGAGCTGTCGCCCAGATTGCGAAAGGTTGTGGATTCGAGTCTCATCTCGGGGCTGATGGATTTTTAAGCACTTTTCATTAAAGATATTTATCAGTATAGTATGCTGAATGTAAAATTGATCAAATCGACTTTCCGAAGAACAAAGACGTATCTACAAAATGTCGAACTTCCTAATAGTTAATTAACTGGTTGGAAAAAAAGTTAAATGTTTTTTTTTTACGTACTTCGCATTATTGCCAGATTCTAATAACAATTTTAAACTATATATTTTTTAATAGTTTCGGATGATAACTTCGGCTTTTGTTCTTCGATATACTGCAGTACGTAAGTGTAAATACGACTTGGTTTTATGAAAAGGCTATCAACTTAGGTGTACATACAAATTATTAAGTATATATATATATTTATAACAACTAAGTATTTTTATGAAAATATCTACATCGTATATTGCTTTTTACATCTTTCAATATTGTAATTAAATAAAAAAATCGGCAAAAAAATCGTATTCTCGCACGAGGGGTTCCATACCCGAAACGAGAAAACAAGTCACGTTTTTTCTACATAACTCATATCTATATAACTAATCAAAAACATAATTCCATACCTCTAACATATCTTTCTTAGCTATAAAAGTAGTTCAGGAGTCTGGTGTTAATAGATAGTATTTAACGGTATCTTGAAAATAAAAAGCAATAAATTTAACAAACAATCTTTTGTGAGTTTTATTAAAGTATTTAAAGTGTAAACTGCAATAATTACTACATTAAATTGGAGTTTTGTGATCTGATTTTGTATCAAGAGTGGAACCAACATTATCGTTTTGTCTTATTTAGAGCTAAGCCCAAAATACTTTTCTTTCTTGATAGGGCCTACTTTGTGCTACACGTACTTTATAGTCCCCACACTTTTATGATAAATTTTATTATTAATATCACTGTAACCATTCTCCATTTTTTAAATAACCAACTCTGCGGAGAACAAATGCG